TGGGGGGGGGGGGGGGCTAGTTCCAGGGGTATTATTTAACTTAGTTAAATAGGGGCCACCTGCAAAAGTTTGCTCAAGACTGAAACTGCCCAAAAGCTGGGGTTAAAACCCATCAGTATTAATTTTGGTCCATCCCTAAGAGAAGCACTGAGAATGGGTTTGGTAGAAACAGATTTGTGGCATTAGACCCATGACTGGGAATATTTCAGAACTGCCAATTATTTGCTGTGTAAGAAATCCATGTATTATATAAAGTATAATATAGAAATATAAATGTAATGCTTGTTATTAAAAATGCAATTTAATGTACATGGTCACAAGAAATGTTTACTTTTTTAAATGTTACGAACTTGTTTGGATCAGTATCTTGTTATCATTGTGTGAATGATGCCTTGTAAAATAAACGGAAATGCAAACAAAATGGGAATGAGGTGCTTGCTTTCATAAGCCACTCATGTAACTGATACCTTCATGTGGTCTGCTTAAGTGGTTTGACTCCACATAAAATAATAAATGTTACTACGAACAGATACACCTGCTTTGCTGATGTGCTTACAGTAACTCACTTTGGTTATTTCCAGGTGCATAGTATTAGTCTACTAAATTCCATCAATAAATTCAGCGTTTCATACTAGCTGACTAGTTGCAAGGCCCTTTGATAATGCAAGGCTCCATTGATAACGTTCTGGCATGCAGATATAAAGATCTGGTAGGTCATGTGGTTTTTCCTCTCTGAAAGCTTCTAGAGGTGGATATCATCTTCATTACTGAGAAGATCCTGTACTTAAAAAGCTGCTAGAAACAATGAGAAGGTTCTAGTCAATACTACACATAATACTTGAGGATGTTGCTATCCAGGTAGACCAACGGCCAATGGAAGTATATGCAAAGTGAGTAGGCAATGAGGAAGCTGAGTAGTATACCTAGGAGAAAAGAAGGGCCAGGGAAGCAGAGCAGAAAATAAAGTGAAACACATGCATAGGAAGAGGATATGAAGGCACCAGCCAGA